TTTACCACAGCTTACCAAAATGAAAATAAAATCTATTTCTCACAGCCGCTCAGGTCACAAAACGACAACACCAACTACCATATCAAACCCGCCACAAAAGCCTACGCAACTCAAGACGAAAGGCTACACCAACAAATACTCATAGTCGTAGTTACTTTCAAATTTCCTCCAAAGTCTCAAGTCAGCTCACTCTTACTGAAACTATATACAACCACAAGCTATAATACCACTCATTCACTCTAAAAAAATTTCTCTGTCAACAACGGTCATTCCAAAACAATCTCCATGACTAACCAAATAATAAAAGCACTTCATACCAATTTTTCCCAACGAAGGGTCAACCGAATAACTTCTAAAATATTTCACCACAAAACACGATGGGATAAAATTAAAATAAGAAATCAACCTTTATCAAGTAAAACTAAGCACCTCGTAATTTCACTTAAGCTCAAGTACACCCCTCTTAAACTCATTGACAATACTAGACTAATGCACCAACAACAAAATTCTCACCACCCTCGTAGGGAAACAAAGGACTAACAAGGAACTCAAAAATTTCACATCAAGGATACCAGACAACTTATGGTTAAAGGATAAGGGATACAAAATAAATCTCCATTTTAGCTCTCTAATCCACACCATCACAACACACACCAAACTTAACCCAACACAATCATGTGTACCCCCGGTTTACATAATATATGACATATATTTAACGGTAACTATAAAAATTAACATTAATTTCTCACGGTGGATCAAGCATAAATTTCTATAAAAATACTCAAATCATAGTCATATCAACCATCTCAAGGCACTTAATCATAATCTCCATAAAATCACAGCATTCTCACAAAATCATTTCAAAAATTTCTCTAAAAACATTTGTTTTCTAATACAATTCCTGAGATACTGACCACATCATATCCCTAAACATTCCTATTTTGCACTTGAGTACCTCAACAACCAACTCTAAGAGAATTGACTCCACCAAACTCGAAAACATTCAAAACTTGGCTACACATCTCAAAATGTCTACTCACAAATCACCATTTTTGAAAAAATATATGTATTATTGATTAATATTGATTGATGTCTTACAAGATTGATTATATTCTGTATATTACAATTCCTATATATAGAGGAGAAGATGGTAGTGGAGTGTGTGATAGTGGTTTTTTTCAAAAGATGTTTTGAAAAATTATTTTGAGAGAGAGTTTTGGAAAAAGTGATTGATTTGATGTGTATGAGAGAGAGATTTGTTTGGAAAATTTGTAAACCAAACAAGTTTTGGAAAAAAAATTTGGGAAAATTTGTTTGGTTTGATTACTTTTGAAAACTTATTTATAGAGAATTTTTCTCAAAATTTTTTGAAAAACACAAACCAAACAAGGCCAATCTCTCCCAATCTATTACAAAATTCTTTACCTAGTTCGTTCACTTATGATTTACAACAGAATTCTGAACAAAACAAACTCTCTAAGAAGCACATCCCTTACTACACAAAATTTCTTCCCCTTTAACCGTAAGACAAATTTAGGGTGAGACCACTAGATAATTGATATTAACTCAATGTAATTTAAATAATATCATAGCCTATTGAACATAGTGAAGAAGCCAACCTCAGCCTTAACCATATAACCTGTATCGCCACAATTTACACCATTTCCATTCATAACTCTTTCATATATATAACTCTTATAAAACTTGAACTCATAATCCGAAACAGTCATAATTAACAATTATCAATCATTCTAAATTGAAGGTCTCGGCTAAACTCAATGACACTACTAATTCGGTATATCAAGAACATAATTATACTCACTCCATCATGGCATGCATCAAAACCAACCCCAAACAATTGTTTACATTTCCCGTATCCATAACTCTTACCCCATAACAATGATGGAACATGAAGGGCACGCCTCTTTGTCTCAGCAAGCCAAATACAACCTCTTATGAAAATTTTCCTATCCTAACCACATCAATTATTTCAAAATACCTATCATAAGTCTCTGTTTATTCATAACAACTCCAAGCTTGAGTCACAGTATCAATACTTGTGAAGCCAACCCTTAAGACACCCATCACATAGCCTCTTCCTTATGTTACTCCGCCAACCGAGTTAAACATAACTAATTTCACCTAGTTTGAAAAAGTTTAAAACTAATTCTTGTATTCCGATATTAACATTCCAAAACACTTATCCTTAGGTCACTCCAATCGTCCTTAAGGCCTCTATCAATGTGCATTACCATAAGGTTTAATCCATACCTCACTCCACTTCCAAGACTTCCCTTCTAGCCTATTTCCAAAATTTCAATGTGAGTCTATGAGATAATTTCAAGTCTTCATAACCACAAATAGTTCACCATCCAATAAAATCTCTACTATCATAAGGTCACAATTGCTTCTCATGAACTTACAAAATCGGTAAACTAAGGTTCCACACCAATCTCATAATCGCGTTCTCACGTGATCCCAAAACGATATATCTTACCAATAAAAGTGGTGCCAAAGATTCAAGTCCCAAAAGTTTTTCCCCCATTTGGGGTCACTCTCGTCCTTACATCCTATAAGAAAATAGAAATAAGGTTTAACCCACACTTAAATACTCCACATGAGATCTCACACGCCATACACGAGTTACACATATGCCTATACATGTACCTACTTTCACATAAGGCAAACCATATAAGCACATAGTCGAGCACATGCAGATCACTCTCCTAAGATATCAACTCGTCCCATGGCGCTCAAAGACTTCCAAGTGGAAAAAACATTAATCAGGTGCCTTTTCCAAAAGGATTTCGATGAATGCAATAGGCTCAAGTTGTATCCTAGAAGCTTGACCCCATACCCACATAGTCACATAAACACATAAAGCATACAAGGTAAATTAACGTCCCTTCCTAGCATGATAAACCCATTGTGGCAAAAGCCACATCCCACGAGCTCAAGGTATTCAAACCGTTAGCTCTGATACCAAGTTGTAACGCCCCCCCCCAAAAAAAATAGAAATACTAATCCATCACAATATCCTTTAAACATGCAGAATCAACAGAATTTAACTACTTGTTTCATTACATTTCTTGATTTACAACATGAAACCAATTGACATAATCGAGTCAAATCATTCTTCAGTTTTATCCAAGGTAATGCCTTAAAGGCTACAAATTTCCAAGGCCTTGCCTGGATCGCAAGTAAATGGTTTTCTAACCCACACAAATATAGTCCTTGACTTGTCAAAAATGAAACAACAAAAGATAAGAGCCTCGTGCTCCCAAAACTATTCTCCACGCCTCTACTTTGGCGAGGTCACAACAGCTTTTCCTGCAACAAAATCCACTAGGGGTGAGCACAAAACCCAATAGAGAATTCTTAACGAAGTATATACATTTTATACAGTCTCATGAGATGGATGCACATGTCATTTAAAAACATCAAAAAGATAATTTTTCTCTTTTGAAAGCCTTATGTACAATGCATGTCTAAAAAATATATATAAATTATAATTAATCCAATGATATCCATGTAACAACAAAGAGTGGTAAATATGACTCAAGCAAATCCCCAGGGCTAGTGTCTGCAAGTAGGCTTATCAAACACTACCAAATCCTACCTTACCGGCTTCTAACCTGAGGGCTTAGGCACCTGCACGCGTGTGTTTCTGGTCTTGCACCAAGGACACTCAGGCCAACTTAATTTTCAAACTACACCCCCTAACAGGACTTCTCACCATATTTACCTCAAAACGGTTCATCAACAACATTTGTTCCACAAAAACCATTTTTATTAACAACATTTGTTCCACAAAACCATTTTCATTTCAAAAGTGATCTTAACAATGCCAATTCAAAAGAAAAACAATGAACATGAAATGAAATGTCAATACAATATATGTCTATATTAATGTCTCGGACTTTCTCAAAATTTTTCAATACTTTCTCATTTCATCCGCACAATCTTCTATTGTGATCAAGTTTCATATCTCTACCCAATATATATATACAATATATATTCCAAGAGAGATATATAAAAAAAAATACACATCATCAAATACATTTCTTTCCTGTGTCCGTGTTCGTGTTCGTGTCCGTGTCCGTGCTTCTTAAGCTCTTGCTTTTAGCTTTAATTATGAAATCCCTTTGCTAAACTTCTTTCTACTTTGTTCTCTAAAGGAAGTGCGTAAGGGATGACATTGAGTCATTGTAATTGTAGTAGGGGTGCAATTCGAGTGGGTTCGGACGGTTTGATGTCCAAGCCCAACCCAAGTTGTGTTGAGAGTTGTCCAGGCCCGAATTGTAACCCGAGATTGTCTGCCCAAGACTGACCTGAGTTAAACTTGAGTTGTCTAAATTGCCCGAATTGTACATAAATTTCAATTTTTTGCTTTTTCTTTTTTAGTGCAGCTAAGTAGATTAATTTTTAAAAATTAGACTTTATATATATATTTTTATGAAATCATTAATAGTATCAAAACAAATAATTTATATAATATAAGAGAGATGCCATTATGATAGTCTTTACAATTTATGAGTAAGAAAAAAAAAGGTAAGATTTTATGTTGTTTACTTGTGTATATAATATATATTCAATATGATCTAATGATCTAAATTACTTTGATATCATCCAATGACTAATAATTTATATGTTTATTTAATATTTTTATATATTTATATATATATATATCTAATTCGGGTTTCGGGTTGTTTGGTGTCTTTGCCGAAGTCCGTCCAAATTTAATTCGAGCTTCTAAGTTTTTGTCCAAGCCCATACCGAATTCAAAAATATTTTTCCCAAGCCCGAAAAATATTCGGGTTGCTGGGGTTGAACCCGCACAAGTTGCACTTCTAAATTGTAGAAGTGCGTTACAGAAGGAAATGGATGCCAACCAGTTTTTTGATATGTTTTATTGTAATTGCTAAGAAATGTGGTTTGTAGATTTTCCGTAGACAACTTTCCATGTTCACGCTTAGTTACATCTCCTTTTTGGGATCCAGGTTGAAGAACATCGTGTTGTTTCAGTTCCTTATCAATCTGTACAGGTATTTTCTAACTTAAGGAACATGCTGTTAGGCAACCTCAGCTGTCCATTAATTGTTTCCTTTCGTGTATTTTTCAAGATTCATTACGTATATTAGGGCTTAGATTTAGGCTTTTATTCAGACCTAATTTCTGTTCATTTCTTGTTTATAGTCTTGGTAACATGTTTATATACCTCTACAGAGATGAATATATTATTCAATTCTCAAAACTCTTACTTGTGCTAGTACAAAAAAAAAATGAAAATTGTGCAGACCAAGGTTATGCATTTGATTTTGGAAATGTACTAATTCCTGGTAAAAAATGAAATGAGGACCTGGAGTTATGAAAGTTCCTCAGATTCCATTAATACATTGAAGGATAAAGGATGAGTTAGTTACTTAGTTGTTAAAACTTTTGATGAGGCAACATAATATTAAATTTTGGGGAAATTCAGTCAAATGGCAAGGTTGTAGTGCAACCAGTAGTTTTAGTTTGAAGGATCCTAGAAGAAATTTAGGCCAAATATTAGTCTCATTAGATGAATGCAACTATTGGATAAATGAGCATATACAATCCACCTTATAATTGATCTGGAGTATAGAGTGAAAACCAATAACATCTTTAATTTCCACCATCTGTTTTTGTTAGATTCAAAAAAGAAAGAAGAAATTAAGAAGAGGAAGCGAAAGAAGAGGATACCCAGTATATTGTTAATGATAGATAGAAACCTTAGGATTCTCCTCTTAGACACTCATATTTATATTAGAAGATCCAAAATACTGAAGTACCCCTCAAACTAAAATAATGAATAACACAATTTTCATTTTTTTTTTTTTGTGCCAGCTCGATTTGAATATAAAACCACATCTCCCTTCTGAATACATAAACTACTTGGAGAATCCCATGGAAATAATTAATGACGCTGAAAATGCTGCTGAAAAAGACATATGGAGTTTGATGCAATTTACAGAGAATCTGCGCCGTCAATATGGAAAAGAGCCTTACTCCATGGAAATCCTATTGAAAAAGCTTTACGTGAGAAGAATGGCAGCAGATCTAGGGATTACAAGGATATATGCTTCAGGAAAGATGGTTGGCATGAAAACAAACATGAGTAAAAAGGTTTTCAAGCTGGTAACAGATTCAATGGCATCTGAGGTTCACCGTCATTCTCTGGGTTTCAAGGATGACCAAATTAAGGTATTAATGTGTGTTTATGTATATAAATGTCATTCATGTCTATGCTTTTTGTTAGTTTTAGCAGATATGATGGATGGTTGTACCATTGGCCATATCTTCCAGATGCTCCATGACAATGGAAACAAAATCTAATAGAGCAGGTGTCTATGGTTCCATGTACGCGACATACAATGCCAATAGCTGAAACACCCATCTGTGTTCTGATCTTTGAATACTTTTCCAATATCTTCCACATTCCCTGCATGTTGGGATCCATCAAGTGTTGTTTTTCAACTTTCATGCATTTATGTAACCATCTACCTAGGAAAGTGTTAGCGAAGATATATGATGTTGACATACCCCGTAGACTTTGGGGATAATTTTTTTCGTCACATGTTCCCTTACTTCATGTCCTTTACCGTCTTGTAGGCAGAACTTCTTCTGGAACTACCAAGAGGACAACTGCTCAATTGGATCTTCCAATGCTTGGCTGAACTTCATGCTTCACTACCAGCCCTTGTAAAATACTAGTTCTCTACACATGTATTAGGAGTTTTTTGGCTGACTGACTGGTGACTAAGGCCAAGTTTGGGAAGACTAAAAAAGTGCACTTTTTGTCTTTTTGGACTAAAAAATTGAGGTTGAAAATATGGATGTTTGGGTTAACTTTTTGACTTTTTATTGAAAAATGTGTAATAAAAAATTGTAAAAATTGATTTGTAGAGAAAAATTTGAATTGGGAGTTGTGCAGCCGTAATTGTTGACTTTTGGTGAATAGTGTTAACTTTTTAACTTTTTGAGTAACTTTTTGACTTTTTGACTTTTTTGGAACATCCCAAACTTGGCCCGAGTCTCAAGTAACTTTCTTTTCCCTCTTCACATTGACCGATCAGTTTTGTTTTACTATTATTATTATTACCATTCTAAAGGGTTGACTGGGTCCAATTCAACACTCCCAACCATGTAGGTCCACCGCCCTTGATTACACATGGTAAATAAAAAATGCCGATGGCTGAGCAACAGGAGACTCCATCAGGTCCATTCACTTTTAAATGAAAAATGCCATGGCTGAGAGTATTTTACAAGCTACATTTCAAATGGGTACCATTCAAATTTTACATGCGCTCCCCCAACTATTTAAATCGCTAGATTTTCTATTTTATTATAGAAGTTTCTTTTCTCCCTTCCAAGAAGGTGAAAAATTCAAGGTTTGACCAAGAATTGTACCAAGAATATTCCTGACGAAAGTTATTAACTAAACAATCAAACACCTTAAATTGGAAATTAATTTATAGAAAAATAGAATTACAAAGTATTTTTATATCTTTCACATATTTTTCAATTAATCACAACATATCCTTTCAAAAACAGGAGAAATAGCAGAACAATGTCGATCCTATTCCCTCCAAAATAATCTAACCCTATGTTACTTGGAACGCAGATCATTCAAGTACAAGGAACGGGAACAAAAACATGGTACATCAAATGCTCTAAAATGTGGTACAATGGGGGTAGAATTGTATAAATCACAATACCAGAATTTAAGAGACTACTACATATAACAACAATTATATATTAATTGTTAGACATTCAATAAAATAAAGTTACAAATTAGTCATGTAAAAACACAATTCTAGAAGCATTATGGCCCATTTATTTTATATTTGGTCTTGCAAAAACATTATTCTTTCTAAATTTTAGTTCATTATTTTTTATTTGTTTCATCCTATAGGAAATTTTAAAGAATTATACAGGGAAAATTTTGGAATCACTTGCGATCGCTAAATTCTCTGTTTTGGAACGAAAGTGTACCATGTTTCAGACTGTGCATTCTAAAATGCAAATTGATAAGGTTTGGTGTTTCTGGATCACATCTAACCTTATTGTAAGACAGAAGGCACGACACAAGTTGAGGAGAATAGGAAACTATACATCAGTTGATAGCCCAGGAAATGCAAAATTAGCAAGTGTGAAGCACAATAGCAAACTGACAACAGAAAAGATGTGAGACCATACCATTCAAGAATGCACTGAAGGTGGAACTCATGCTTGCAAGTAGTCACCTGGAAGTGATTATTAATCAGTATTTACACAAGTCATTTCCTCAAAATTTTAACACACGAGAGATAATTGTGTTTTACTGTTGAAGGGTCACTCTCAATGAAGGCCTCCAGGCATATACTGCAAGCATCATCACAGGATTCTTGAATTCCCCCCTCCACAAAAGCTGCAGCTGATGTCAAATGACTTTCAGTCTTATTGATCTCATCCATCCCTGGGACCTTGTAAACACAAAAACCATGAATTTGATATCAAAAACTGCACATAAATCCCAACACTTTTCCAATTCACACAATTCGTCTGAAATAAACAAAAAGGGATAGAATCCAACTTAGAACTGCCTACAGCTCAATTTTGGCAAGGAATATTAATTTAGAGGAGTATCTAAAACCTTATTTAGAGAGAAAGGCATGGAGGTAGGAAGGGAGGAGGGACAAAGCAACTGACCTCCATGGGAAGTTAAGCAAATTTGTTATAAACTAATTGTATAACTAAAATCACACACAGAGGCATACCCGGAGGAAAAAGCCCTAAACAAAGCCTCCCCTAATTTACCCACTAATGACATGACAGGTTACGTGTCAGTTTTTGATACGTCACAAACTCAATTATGTAATGAATTGTGGGTTCTAAATTGTAGGTCTCTAGCATTCCTCAGAAAATCAATCTCTTTCCTATAAAATTTATCAGATTTAACACCCAAAGAGAAGAACAATCATCATTATCACCCACAAAACCAACAAGATAAAATGCCATGTACCCATATATAATATGTCTATTTATGTAATTTTTTGTATGTTATGTCTCATCAATGAACCTCTTTATGAGAGTACCATAACCTTTTCAGACAAAGAAAGGGGAAAGCATGGAAAACCCATAATAGTGAGACAATGTAATCAAGAGAATATCCATAATATCAAATTATCAACCAAAAAAAAAAAAAAATCCAAATATATAGTAAGAAAAAGAAAACAAATTTATGACTGTTTAAGACAAGAGAACAAAAGATCGAATTGAACCCAATAATGTATAGATCGTATAAAATTTTGGGATTTCTTCAATTACCTCCATTCCAAACTGAGAATTGTTCTCTGAATTGTGTCAAGAATTGGCAAAACAGCCCATGAACAGGAGGTCAAGTTTTTTAATTCCCCCCCACTGGAAAAGGGAATCCTTCGAAGGGATAGACCAAAAACCCTAGACTTTTAGAGAGAGAAGGACGTTTTGGAGAGAGAGAGAGGGAGACAGAGATTAATGGGTAGGAGAGAAGACAGAGGAGATGATGGAAGACATGTCCACCTTTAACTTTTATTTTATTTTATTTTTTTATTTAATTTTATTTAATTCTGTTTTTGTGTTAGAAAAGTCACAATTGGCATCAGATGGTGGGGTCTCCACCCCCACTTTAAAAATAGGGTAAATCACATTTTTTTGCACATAGGGTAAATTACATTAACCATGAAACCCTTCATGGGTGTTGATTTAGGCCTTGTTTGAGGATAGATTTTTTTAGTAATTTTTTGACTTTTTAATTACAATATAATATAAAAATAATTAATATGTTTAAGATGATTTTTTGACTTTTTACGAAAAGATGTGCAAAAAGTAGAGAGAAAATGAAAGTTTTGACTTTTTGGTATAAATTGTTGACTTTTTGATTTTTTTAGTGCCTTTTTAATTTTTTGACTAAAAAAATCACTTACCAAACGAGGCGTTAATTATATTTTACCTTTTGACATTTTAAAAATTATGTTCTTATTTTTGTAATTAATAATTCCATTTTACAAACTATTTCTTTATATAAAAGACAATAATTTTTAATAAAAAAATAGAACAAATTACATTAAAAAAAAAAAAGTTAAGCAAAATAAAAATAAAAAAAAAGTGAATGAATTTAATGTGTTCATCCCATCTAAATAATTACAATAACAATGAGTTAGTGTAAGTTTTTAAACGTGATATATATTAAATCCAAACCTCAGGGGTGTAAATGTAATTTATTCATAAAAATAAGAGTAAACTATCAATAGATTCTAATAGTTTGGCTTAATTTCCATCGAGTCCTATTGAAAATAACTTCTAATAAAATTGTCGCTAAAAATATTTTTTTTGTGATAATTTTTTACATATGTCGCTAAAATTGACAATTAGTGACTTTTTTGTCACGATTTTTTTATAAATTGTTATTAAAACTTATAATTAGTGACGTTTTTCTGTGATGAATTTTTCAAACTGTCACTGAAAGTTAAAAATTATTGACTTTTTTTGTACCGATTTTTTTAAATTGTCACTAAAACTTATAATTAATGATATTTTTTGTGACAAAATTTTCAAACTCTTGTTGGAAATTAACAATTAGTAACATTTTTCAATAGCGTTTGATGAAAAATGTCATTAATTATCATAGGATCTATTGGATAATAAATTCATTTATTAGGACCTATACGTACGTCCCCCAAAATGGTAAAGTGTCAATAGGTCCTAATAATTGAACTTAATTCCCATCAAGTACTATTAAAAATAAATTCTAATAAAATTATCGTTAAAAATAATTTTTTATAATAATTTTTTCCATATATCGTTCAAAATTGATAATTAGTAACTTTTTTTTGTCGCGATTTTTATAAATTATCTCTAAAACTTATAATTAGTGACTTTTTCTATGATGAATTTTTCAAACTGTCGCTGAAAATTAAAAATTAGTAACTTTTTGTGATGATTTTTTTAAATTGTCGCTAAAAGTTATAATTAGTGACATCTTTTGTGACAAAATTTGTAAACTGTAGTTGAAAATTAACAATTAGTGATATTTTTTAATAGTATTTAATGAAAAACGTCATTAATTATCATAAGACCCATTAGTCAATAAGTTCACCTATTAGGATCTATATGTAAGTATCCCCAAAAAAATTGATATACAAGTCTATTTTTTTGGATATAAGCTCACCTTCATATCTTATCTTTCCATGCCTCTTCATACTCTTCTCGTAAGTTTCAATCCGGACTCGTATTGATGATCCGAACCATCTATCTCGTAGGCCCTACAATAAAAGTTATCCATTTAAAAAATCAACTTCACCAAAAAATTATAAATACAAAAATAAATCACATTTTATTTTATAAAATGAATGATAAATATAATTAAATTTGAACTATCTGTTTTATAAAATAAAATGCGATTTATTCTTATATTTATAATTGTCCGATAAAGTTAATTTTTTGTGCGGATAACCTTCATTGCGGGACTAACGAGATAGATGATTCAGATTATCAATGCAAATTCAAATTAAAACTCATAAAAGGAGTATGTAGAGATATAGAAAGATGAAGTATGAAGGGGAACTTATCCCAAAGTAGGTCTAAATTTTGGACCTAAATAACAATACTAAAAAAAAATGTTATAACCAAATACTGAAAGAGGCTTGACACTCACGAGTCCTAACTAAAATAATGTCATAATTAAAGAAGAAAATTATATAATTAAAGGTACATATGGTACACCCCTTTCAAAGGAAGAAAATTGTATAATTAAAGGTGCATATGGTAAACCCCTTTCAAAGGATATGTATAGTAAAATTTTCCTTATTTTAAATTTAAATTTAAATTTGATTGTCGTGTTTAGATTAATAGAGTTTATTATGGGTCATATTTCAATAATCTAAATTATTTAATTTGTAAGAATCTCCAAGTATATTGTCCATGAAAACAATTAGATTAATATGATAATCGAAATTTTTTTATTTTTATTTTATCACGCTAAAAATAGATGACAAGTGTATAGAGATGGCAATTTGAACCCGACCCAACGGGGACCGAACCCCCAGACCCTGATTAGAATGGTTTTTCTCTGAAAAATATCCCCGACGGGCTGGAGATGGTATTCGAAAATATATCCCCGACAAGTTTCGGGCCGGGGACGGTTATGCATTCCCCGTCCCCATCCCTGTTTCCCTCGAACTGAAATTACTATTATACCCTCTATCTATTTATATTATATACCCCTCTCTCTCTCAGACAGACCCCTCAATTTCTCTCTCTCTCTCTCTCTCTCTCTCTCTCTCTCTCTCTCTCTCTCAACCCTAATCTCAAACCTACATCGATCCAGACCAGATCCAGTGCGTCTCTACCTTTGACAAGGTCGCCAAGGTCACTATCCTTAAGAACCGCTGCTCCGCTATCTTCCGTTGCAGTACCGCCGCAACACTTCCTCTACCATTCTCAAGAACAGCTGCTCTACCTTCCTCCATCGCAGCACTTCCTTTGCTATCTTCCATCGCAACACCGCTGTAGCACCTTCTCTCTCGCTTCTCTCCTCATTTCTTTCCTCTCGCTTTCTCTTTCCTCCTTCTCGCTCTCTCTCAATTCTGATAGTGAAACCTAACCAACATCTCGAGATACGGAATGTCAGCCATGTTTCAACATAAATCTGAGTAAATCCACATAGATCCATGAGCCATCCACATAGATCTGTGTGTATGTGTACATGTGTGTGTGTATGTGTAAGTGTGTATTTGTATCCATTTTTTTTTAATTGTTCATTTGTTGTATATGTTGTGGTTGTTGATCTGTTGTGGTTATGGTTGTTGATCTGTTGTGGCTGTGGTTGTGGTTATGGTTATTGATCTGTTGTTGTGGATGTTGTTTTTGTACGAGGATTTTTTGGGATCGGGGATCCTCGATCCTGGTTAGGGAGCGAGGGCGCGATGATTGGTTTCCCGCCGAGGAACGAAGATGGGGACAGGGAATTTTGTGTCTTCAGGGATCAGAGATAGGGAGTATGATCCTGGGCTCAGCCCCATTGCCATTCTTACAAGTGTATTTTGAAAATAGATCATCTGTTTATTTTTAAAGACAAATGCAATAAAATGAAAATATCACAATCATTTAATAGACTTAATTTTTTTATTCGTTGATTTAAATTATCGAAATGAGACTCATAATAAATTTCATAAGTCCAAACATGACGATTAAGTTCAAATTAAGAGAAACTCAATTAATATATGAAAGGTACAATATGTATTAGTTGGGATTCACTTTGAATATTACGTAGGTCATATTCAAAATAAAGTATATATTTTGTGTGTGTGTTTTTTTTTTTCATGTTTTAATTTTATATAGAGCTGCAAATGAATAGAGCCGTTTGTGAACATGCTCGAACTCGACTGGGTAAGAGCTCATCCAAACTCGGTTCGTTAAATTTTTTTTGCATTCGAGCTTGAGCTCGTTAAATTTTTAATAAATAAGTCCAAATATTTTAAAACCCGGCTCATAAGCTCAACTCGTTAACTGGCTTATTTAATACTTATTATTTATATATTAAATAATGTAAAAATAATAATAAAAAATAAGATAAATATGTTATTTATATATTTAAAAAATTTAAATGTAAATAATAGTTAGCTATAGATAGTACATTTATATAATAATGGTGTTACACATGCAAGGATGCTAAAGCAAAACATTACTAGTACTCCGAGCCAAAAACAATAGCTAGTTAGTAATCATGCGTGATCTTAGCTATGTTTAAGATGAACTATGCATACACATGCAAAATGTAACTAGAAATAGCTCGACTATTCTATAGATGGCATATTGAGATTCGACAATTCGATACATGTATAAGTAGGAATTGAATACGATGCAGTTAGTATGATGCGCCGAGCCCAGTGCATGCAGTAACAGATGAATGATGCAAACATAGCATAGCTAAGGATGCTAAATGAAATGCCCTAAAAAACTAACGCTCGTAAGTGGTTAAGTAAAAGGAGCAAGACGTAGGTTCGAAGACATGCTACACTCACGCAGCTTATTACAAAATTGACCCTCTCTGACGGAGGGTCGAAAGAATAATACAAATCAACTAATTAATAACTAACAGCTAATTAACTTATTACATAACTCTAACTAATTAAACAAATTAATTAAGCTAAAAAAAAACAGTAAAGCGCCTCGATAAAAGGGACAAATGCACGCTCAATCGGCTTCGCTTGGAAATCTATTGCCATGCCTCATGTTGCCTCTGTTTGCACTATTTTGCACCTCTGGAAAACTGTGAAAAGTCCCCTGTGATACTCTAGAAGCCACTTTCAGGACTATGCTGGCCATTGCCAAAGGTGAAGCCATCGGCCAAAGGAAGGTGTCATGCAAAAACCATTTACGAGGTCATCGCCAACACACTTTAAGCCGATCGCACACCAGATAGCCGAATCGACCATCTTATTCCCTGCAAAATGCTATTTTGCCTGCAGCAGAGGACAAACAGAGGTATGGCAATACATTGCAAGAT